CTCGCCCTCCCGCCCCCGCCCCCGCCCGGCCCGGCCCGTGCCCCGCCCAACGGAGCTGCAGCCCCTGGCGCCCCCTGCCCCCCGTGGCGCGGGCTGGTCGGACCCTGAGGCGGTTCCTGTCACGTCGGGAGAACGCCCGGCTGTGTCCTCCCGCGGGGTGGGGAGGGGGCCGCTGCATCCGCGACTGCGACTGTATCTCACGTAGAGCTCATATACGTGTGTGTGTGACCGCGAATGTGCAGGTGCATGCCTGTGTATGTGTGCATGCATGAGTGTGCATATGTGTATGCACGTGGGTGTGCATGTGTGTATGCACGTGCATATGAGTATGCATGTATGTATCCATGAAGGTGCAGGTGTGTGTGTATGCATGTGCTTGCGTATATGTGTGCATGTATTACCGTATTTTACAGTGTATAGGTTGACACTGTATAAGTCAATCCCATATTTCTGTACAACGTTATGATTTTTGTAGCTCCATTGTGTAAGTTGACACTGCCTCGGTGTGCGAGGCACTGGAAACCCAGGTAGGCTTGTGGGAAAGGCAGTGTGCTGGTTGGCTCCTGGAAGTTGGATTGGGCCCTTGGGAGCTCAGGCAGCACACTGCTCACTGGCAGCCTGCCCAGCCCAGCCCCTGGGGGACACCACCGCTGTGGAGGGAAGGACCAGGCCCCCCCACAGCTCAGGGACTGGCCAGCCCAGCAGCAGCTCACCACCCCCTGGCCACAGGGGGATGCCAAAAGTAGGATCCGGCCACTTGCCACTTCTGCCTTCAGCAGACTCCTGTGGCCAGCCGGATGCCTGGCACCTCCCAGGAAGGGACTGACTTGCCCCAGGGACAACAAATAGGTGCTTTTAGTAAATACTAACCAGCATTTTTTAGGGTTTTTTTAAATAACATTTTTTTTTTTTTAAAAAGTAGGCCAACAGAAAACACTACGTGTATTCCAAGACAAGCTCTGTTTTAAACACTGCAGTGAAGTCCTTAGTTTGGATGGTATTCAGTGTAGATTTCTGTGCAACACTAATCACATTAAAATATTTTAAATTAAAGTTGAAAATGAATAGCACAGTTCCCTCTGTTTCTTGTTGTTTAGTGCATTACATCCAGTTTCTTCAGTGCTGCCCCCACTATTTTGAATTGCCTCAGTTTTTTAATGACAACTCATTAGTTCACTGTAGCGGTTGTTATTGGAAAGTATTCAATTTTGACTTCTGGACTGAAGACAAATTATCCTTTTGGCACTTAAATACATTTAGGGAATAGGGAATGGTCTGAGTTTTAGCACATGAAAGAGCCTTTTTTTTAAACAATGGAGAATGAGCTTCTCTTCTCTTCTCTTTCTTTAAGTCTTGTTTAAAGAAGACTTAGGGGAGTCTTGAGGTTTGGGGAGAACTTGAACAGGTTTTTGGGGAACAAAATCTATATTTCTTTAATGCCCACTCTAGCACAATGGTACTCAACCTTTCAAAGACTTGGGGCCCCCCTGGAAAATGTCAGCTCTTACTTTTCACTATTTTTTTACTACAAAAAATAATAGTCTTTCCTGCCTAGTACAGGGGGGCTGGACCCAATGATTTTGCAAGGTCCCTTCCAGCTCTTTACGATCTATGAATCTATTAAATATATATTTTGAATGGACCTCAGTCACCTGCTTGAAGCAGGTTAATTCCTGATTCAAGTGTCTCAGTCAAGTGTTTGGCTAACATGATCTTAAAAATGTCCAAGCATGGAGATTTCCCAGCCTTTTTCTTCCTAACATGCAACCTGCAATTTAAGAACAGTGCTCCTTGTCCTATCCTCTGCAGCCACAGTGAATCTCTATCCTTTTGATATTGGCCTTTCTGGTATTTGAAGACTGTTATCAAATCCAAGTTCAGTCTTCTTTTCTCCAAAATAAATAATCCCAGTTCTTTCAGCCTGTCATCATAAATCATGTTTCACAGGTCTCTAATAATTTTTGTTGCTCTCCACTGGATTCTTTCTAATTTGTCCAGTGGACTTCCTTTTCACAAAGACCTAATTTCTCCCATTCTTTCTCTACTAGACTTTCAACTCCCTTCAGTTCTGCCAGTCTTCTAGATCAGGCCTGTTAAAACCTATCTCACCATTCTTTCACTTTGCTCCTTCCCTTTTTGATATTATCTTGCTATAGTCCATTGTAATGGGCTGAGGCACAAACATTAAAAATAAACAGCCTTTTCAGTTCCTTTGTTGCTTTCTGTAATAAGAATCTAGAGCATTAAATTGTACCATAGATCAGACGCATACAAGGGAAACCGGAACAAATGAAAAGGTGTTATATTGTACACTAAAATAGTTTTTTTAAGCCAATTAAACCTTCTAATTGAGATAGAGATTTCTACTTCACTGTGGGGTGCATATTTCCTTCCTCCTAGAATCATATAATACCATCAACTAGTTAAATATTTAACTTTCTTCTTGTGTAATTTCTATTTTATTCATTTAATGGCACAAAATAATTTGTTTTGAAGATTTTCAAATACTAAACATAATTCACATTTAACTGAGTTCTAATACACTTTTATATGTTTAATTCAATATTAAGGTGCCTCAGCACACCCAACCTGGTAAAATACTTGATGTGTTAATATATTCGCAATATACTTCACTTATGTGCATACTGGATAAATGCATAATTCACTTTACTGCATAACATAGTGCCAGTCTCAATTTGTTACCTATCACGTTGTAATAAACTAGTTTTCTGCATATTGGATGCATGCATGGACCAATTAAACGAATAATATATTTCAGCCTCACTGTCTACTTCATAATTTAATTATCTTCGAGTTAACTGTACATTACCTATTATCATGTAACTAACAGCACTCTGTTTAACAGCACTAGAAACAGTAAAGGAGAAGCAGCTGTTGAAAATGGTACTATTAAAAGCCTTAAAAAAGATCGGGCTAGTCAGTTTTGGGCCCACTAATAGCACAGCACTGAAGTGCTGAAATAGTGCTTGTTAAAACTACAACACTGAGAATACTGTGCATTTAGCAGCCCTAAAACTGGCTACGTTATTTCATTTTCAAAGCTTCTACTAATCAGTTTTAGAAGCCTTGAAAGAAGGAAGAATTAGTGGCTATTAATATTGTGGCACTGACAGCACTCTAAGCCAGAGCTGTCCAACTTCCATGCTCTATGGGCCATAACCAGTTATCCAAAGTTTCTATATCATTCATGTTTTCATTTATGAGAGCAACAGAAGTGGAAACCTCCTCACATACAAGACAGCAATCAGAGAGAGATGGAAAGAATATCTTGTAGAACTGTAAAACTGTCCAATACCTACAGTGCCAGCACAACAAGAAATATATTCATTAGCTGAACCAAACATAGAAGAACCATCTTTTGTCGAAGTGAAAACAGCCAAAGCAAAACTTAGGAACAGTAAGGCACCAGGGGAACTGATGGTATCTCAGCTAAAATGATAAAATATGGAGGACAAGAGTTTTATAAACAAATCCATAAATTAATTCTCCTTATTTGGAAGTAATCAATTTTTACCTTATGATTGGTAGCCTTAATATGTCCCATCTTCAAAAAAGGCAGCAAACTGGAGTGTCAAATTTACCCCTATTAACACCAACTTTTATTCTGTAACATTTTACTACAGTGCTTACTAATTTACACACAAAACATTCTGGGAGAATACAAGAATAGATTGAGTTCTGCAACAATAGATTGATGACAGACCAAATCTTCTCTCTAAGACAAATTGTTGAGAAAAAAATGGGAATATAATCAAAGTTTACACATTCTGTTCATCGAGTTCCAGAAAGCTTATGATAGCATACAAAGAGAAAGTCTGTGGGGCCTATTAGCTGGATTAAGAATTCCCAACAAACTGATTGAACTCATTCCTAGTCAACCTGGCACTAGAAAAAGCAACCAGGAGCATAAACAACATGAAGAGAGGAATTCAACTGAATGGAGAGCATAAAATCCTCAGATATGCTGGTGATAAGTGATATGCTCATAAGTGATAGCCATACCCTGCAGGTCACAGCAGGGCAAACCACAGTCTCTCTGGACTGCACACCCCATAGATGCCCCTTCCCAGCTGTGGCGCTGTGTGCTTGCAATCCCCCATGCACCACTTGCCCACGTGCTTCCCCACTGCTACACTTCATGACCGCCCTGCTACACTGTGACTCACACCATTATGCCGCACGCTCACAAAGCTCTCCCCACCTCTGCACTGTGTCCTGCAACCCCCGCCCCGTCAGATCTCACCCCATTCCCCACTGCACCGTGTGCCCCAGGCTCACCCTCAGCTTCCCACACTGCCCCACCTCCTGGAGCCATTACAGGAAGCATCAGCAGGAGGATGGGGAGGAACTCAGAGACTCTGGCTGCTGTTGTAGCCAGAGTGATGGAAGGAGCAGCGTGAAAGCAAGTGACTGGCGGCCACAATTTACCCCCTCATCAATCACATGCTGCTTGCAGGCCACCATTTAGACAGTCCTGCTCTAAGCAATGCTTGTTTATGAATCAACTCTCCCAACCACGGTACTATTTGTGATCCAAAATCATCCCTATGACATGTACAATAACTGCTGTTTTGGAGAGTAATATTAGGAATGAGTTTTTGCACTTTAATCATGTTTAATGAAATCCTTTTTTGTTTACATTGCTTTCTTTTGCTTTTTCACTAATTTCCGTTCCCTTTCTCTGCATCTGATTCTCTGCTTTTAAGTTGTATT